CCGAACACCTGTACCCTCGCGGCCTTGGATGTGTCTCTGTGTGTGTGTTTGTGTCTGTGTGTGTGTGTGTGTGTGTGTGTGTGTGTGTTTGTATGTGTGTTTGTTGGATTTACTGAACCTTGAGTTGCACCATCGTCGTATTTGCAGACATGGGCGACTTTGATGTGCGCATGTCTGCGCTGGATTTGTTGGATCGCATTCCAACGGATATTCGGGAGCAGTTTGAATGCACCACAACGGCTTGCTCGATGCTTGAACTCTTGCGCATGTATCAAGGTGTGCTCTTGTGTGCTCTTGTGAGTGTATGTGTGTGTGTGTGTGTGTGTGCTCTTGTGTGCTCTTGTGTGCTCTTGTGTGCTCTTGTGTGTGTGTGTGTGTGTGTGTGTGTGTGTGTGTGTGTGTGTGTGTGTGTGTGTGTGTGTGTGTGTGTGTGTGTGTGTGTGTGTGTGTGTGTGTGTGTGTGTGTGTGTGTGGCTCCCATTTATCTTGTGCTCGCAGTGGGTCGTCTGCTGAGTGGTTGCACATATGTCCACACCATCTGGTCAGCAGCACAACGCCTTTGCGGTCCACGAAGACTCACCCAACCTTGATCTCTCCAGCTCTGTTTTCTCGGGACTTGGACGAGTCGCAGCTTGTTGACATTGCCAAGGACGTGTGCAAGGCAGCTGCCCTCCTCGCTCGCGTTCTCAGCCAACATCAGGAGGCGCCGTCTCCAGCCGTTGCGGCGCTGGTGCCATCGGACGACGTTGATGATGCCGTCACCGCCGCACACACTGCCCTCGCCCATCTTGCCGAGCAGTCCCGCGCCAGCCAGTGAGACTGATGATTATGATGATGATGATGCTTTGTTGTGTGTGTGTCTGTCTGTGTGTGTATGTGTGTCTGTGTCTGTGTATGTGTGTGTGTGTGTGCGTGTGTGTGTGTGTGCGTGTGTGTGTGTGTGTTTGTGTGTGTCTGTCTTTGTCTGCCTGTGCCTGTGCCCCTGCTCCCGCCTGTGCCTTTGTCAGTGTGTGCTGCTGGTACGTGTTTTTCTTCTTTGCCTTTGTGCTTGAAGCTTGTTGGCGCGTCTCCTTATCGCCGCGCATACACCACGCTCTTCTGTCAGGGACGACCGCGAACTTCGCCTGCAGGAAAGCCTTCTCTTTGAAGCGCTGAAACAGCTGCCTCAAGCCGGTGAGACTATACCTGTGTTGCGATTGGATGGTGGCATGCCACGTTATTGTATCGTGACACAACGTCGTGTGCGCCGCAGTTATCCTCTCGTCTTGCGTGCAAAGTGTTGCATGTCACAGAATCCCCTCTGCCTCGCTTGCGGTGCTGGCGTGTTCCAATGCAGTCGTGGGAGATCTTCAGGCCCTTCCAAGACTGGACGACAGCAACGACGTTGCTCTCGTGCTGCACTTGCTCAGCAGTCAATAGATGGAAGGACACGCAAGCAACGTACGCCCCTGTTTAGGCAGTGTGCAACTCGTTTAATCTTCACAAACCAATACAAGACACCACCTGAAAAGTGCAAGGATATGAACACGTTGAGAGGGGAGAGAGGGACTGAACAGACGATATGTACACAGGTAACATAACAACAAGCGCTCAAGAGAACCAAGTTGCAGAGACGGGGCGAAGGCAGAAAATGACAGGACAAACGCGCTAGCCTGGGAAACATCACGGCACTCTGATGTTGCCACAGTCTACAGCATGTCTATGCTCTCCAGCAGTTCTGTCCATTCAGCAGAGTCAACGGGCTCGGCCTCGAGTGATCGGATCTGTGACAGCGGTGTCCATGCGTGTTGATTTTGGGGGCGTGAGCACTCGCTCATCCACGCTCGCACCCAAAACCAGCCAAGACACATAGAGAAAAAATGTACGCATACGCACGCTTGCAACAAGGACCAACTAGTATACACACGCAGCTCGCAACAAACCCAACAGCTACACATACGCACGCACGCACACACGCACGCTCGCACGCATATGCACCTGCTTGATGATGTCCTGCACATCCAGTTTAATCTGCTGTCGAATCTTTGCGTTCTTGCTGTCAAACCACTTCTTGACCATGGCGTGGTAAGCCGTGAGCGCCGGTGTCACAGCCTCAACCATGAGCGAATGCGCGATGGATGGGTCGTTTGCGTGTGCGCTCAGTGCATTGTGCAGTTCACGAAGTGGAGAGCCAAACACGGACACATTGGCACTGGGCGCTGTCGGTTTCTGCAGACGCCAAAGCACGTGTGAAAGAGAGTGTGTGTGCGTGTGTGTGCGTGCGTGTGTGTGCGTGTGTGTGCGTGCGTGTGTGTGCGTGCGTGTGTGTGCGTGCGTGTGTGTGCGTGTGTGTGTATGATAGTGTGTAAGCTACCAGCAACCCCTACGACCGCAACACTCCCTCACTATATAATAAAAAAAAAAAATAACAAGTATCTAGAAAAAAAATATACAAATTTTTATTTTTAAATTTTATCCTATTCTAAATATCTCTTTTTTTATTCTACCATATCATCCCCTT